TGACAGCCTCCAACAGTCTATTTCAGACCACTGGACTGTGACTGCTGCTGTAAGTCTGTAAATCCAAACACTACCTCTCCAGCTTCAGCAAAATATCAAGCCAACTGTTTAAATGTCAGTGTGTTCGGCCTGCTGGGCGATGCACGTGGGAAAGCGGAGGGGGAATGGTGCTGAAGTGCCGGGTTTTTGAATTACAGGAATGACTTATTAACGAAGCAGGACGCTCTCAAATATCACATAAATGTCAATGACTTTATTCGGACGAGGGGGGGTGGGGGTGGGGGGGGGCTGCCATGCTTCTCTTTGCTGCTACAAGCTCAACACACAGGAGTGTAGTAAACGCCCAATAACACAAGTAACTATTTGAGTTTCAAACACATGATGACATATTTCTTTATTTACATGTGCGTTAAAACTTCCTGGCCAAAGTTAAGAAATAGAAATAAAATAATAGCCCATATTAATGATAATAGTAAACTACAAACATGAGGAGAACCCTAGCTTCTTTGGTTTTGTCACCACTGTTAGGCTGCTAGGCAACATCCAACATCAGCCTTACTAAAACCGCAAATTGTCACAGGATAATAACAACAATAAGAATAATAATAATAAACTTGAGCATTCTAGCACTTTTCAAAGCGAACTAAAAATGAGCTTTACAAGGTTCAAACCAGATAAAAATGCATTTGCTCATTTTAAGCAATTAAAATAGAAAGAATACAAAAAAATTGAATAAAAATTAATAAAAAAACATTGAAGCTGAATGTTGAATAAAAAAAACTAATTAAACACATTTGACTGTGGGCCCACATTAATAAATTAGTTTCATAAAAAATATTTTAAGACTAGCTTTGGGTTTACAGCAAAAAATCCCAGATTCTTTGTGTGTTTGCAGTGATATTTGCAGATATATTCACATAAAATTATCAGATTTTTTTCCTCCTTATGAGATGTTGTGTTCACCAGATGCACAAATAGACTGAGATGAGTCAAGAGTGTAACGCTGCTTGTTCAGCCTTCAGTTTGGGTATCAGCAGCTCGTCTCTGTCAGGCTGGCAGTGGGCTGATTACCCAAAACTGGCTCAGAGGAAGATATGGTGATTATAAAAAGAAAACCTGTGTGGTTACTAGCTTTTGTTCTTTTTAACGAGTCGACTAATAAGACATGTAACATTTACATGCTGTGGCCTAAAGACGCCCTGAACTCACACAGTCGCATCATAAAACCTGGAAGGAACGATTGATCTAATTAAACAATCGAATTAATTAAAAGTCCTTCACTGATGCTCTGAGATCTTTTCATCATGAACTCAGATTTATTCAAATGTCATTGTGTTCATCTCACACTTTAATGTTGCAGATACAATACTTCACACACCGAGGTTCCACTGTTTCATATTTCAAGTCTTTCAACATAAAAGTTATAACCAGGTTTCTTACAACTTACTTTTCTTACTTTTTCTTATTGTTATTTCCAAACTGAAGACAGCTAGTGGTTGGGGGCATTATGTTTTCAGGTCGTCCCTCATCCCATTCTTGTGATCATGATATCTCAAGGATGCCTCAATGCTTGAGGCAATTTCTTCAAATTTGATACTAACATTCACTTTCTCTCAACCAAAATGAAAGTAAACTGAATAGATCGTGAAAAGATCAAGGTCCCTATGACCTCACAAAACTTTTTTTGCACCTTGTGAACACAATATCTCAGGGACACCTCCAGGGACTTCTTTCATTAATTATATAAATGTTTACTTGGTTTCCAGAATGCATTCATTTGATATTAGTGGTCAAAGGTCACCGTGATCTCATGTTCTTGTGAATGCGATATATCAGGAACACCCTCACAGTGTTACATAACATTTGGCCCAAACATTTATGACCTGATGATTGTTAAGTTTGGTGGTTTAGGGTCAAATGTCAAGGACAGGGCGACCTCACAAAGCCTTTGTTAGCCTCGTGAACAGGAGGAGCCTTTAAAATTTGGCAGGAATGTTCACTTAAACTGACGGAGTAACTGATGTGGATGGTCAAAGGCCCAGGTGATATTATTTTGAATGTAACATGTCAGATTGGTCCTTTAAAAAACACAAAGCTCAGTTTTTTCTGTGTATTCTTCATTGGGCACATTTTCCCAGATCTCGCTGCCCTTGTTTGATCTTTGCAAACATTTTGATTCACGCTGACAGAGGTAGCTTTTTTTAACACAGTAAAACACGAGGCATCTGCAACTGACCGAGGTCCCTGGTGAAAGACTGAGGTCTGAGCTGCCTGATCTCCCTCGCAGCCCAGGAGATTCCGTAGAGTAACAATCAATAGCGCTGAACAAGCTTTTGTGTTTCTTTTGCTATATGTGAGGCTCTGACTCGATCCTCCACCGTGGTGACTAATCTAATGGGAGCAGACAAAGACTCCCCAGCTGTGTGTTGTTCTGCCAAAGCACGAGAGAAGTTGGAGATGTCCGGGAGATCTTCACAAATCAATATTCACTCACAGAGAACTTCTTTCCATTCATGCATTCACAACATCCGTCTAACACAGTCTTATTATTCTCAACCCACAACTCATCACCTCTTAACGGCAAAAACAACTGTTGCTATTTTCTTATGTACCTTCTATATTAATCTTGGTTAATGGTCTGTGTCCACTGTGCTATTAAACCAGCCTGAGAGACTGGGAGGGGGTTATTAAGCCCACAGCTTCTCCTCTTCTCAGCAACAGACTTTATACATATGAGTCAATGAGAGTAAAGTGTGGCTGCTGTAATGTTCTGGCCTTGAGTTGAAAAACCTGCAATAAACTTTGTTGCATCAGGCATCGCAACTCTTTCTGACTCTTTGGGCACCAGACAAAATCAACACTACTTAACTCTGATATTCATCCTGGCTGGAAGTGATGGAGAAGCTCTTGTATTGAGCAGACAGTGTTAATTACTCGAGTATGAATTATTCAGCTTTTGAACGAGTCAATGAAATATAAATGCCTCCAGTCAATAGATGCCAACATTCGAGAAGACTTTGGACTCCCTCTGGGGGGATTTTGGAGCCAGTGATGGGATGCATCTTATATTCAGACCACACAATGACACCAGAGGTAAATCTGCAGCTGGCACACTGAATCAGCACGAGCTGCACATTTACCCTGGCCACTACATCATTGTCTTGGGTATTGATTAACTATATGGAACAATTATGAAAGGGTACGTGAACATAAGATTAAAAAAAACACCAGTTATCTTCTGTTCCAATGATGTGCATGCTGGACATGTCTTTTGACAAACCAATTCAAAACACTCAATGTAAGAAATGCGATATAACTCTTACTTGTCATAAAGAAAAAGAAAACTATGTAATTTAACTAAACTAATTAACAAATGCAACTTTAATCTTTTCATAAGTCTCAGCTTGAAGATGGAGAGCTTTAAAAGAAACATGTTGCCTAAGCTGTTATTTCACACCTCAATACTAGAGATGAACAACAACCTACAGCCGTGCAGGTTGTTGAGGTATAAAGAATATCTCTAAACGTTTTGCATTCCTTGTTGTGATTTATAGCAGGAAACATGTTTGACTCTTTTACCAGCTCCAGCCCCGGCTCCATACATAACTTAACCAAATGGAAATGTTTAATTAAAGCTTAATGTAAATTTAAAAAAAACATATTACAAAACAATTTGTTGTAAAACAAAGTAAAGCCTGTAAAGACATTAAGTGACTCATTTAGATAAAAATTTAAAATGTGTCTGATATTGAGACAGCACACGTTACCTGGATATAATAATGTCCCTTATGTTTTATTTTCTCCAGTTGACTGAATGCAAAACATTCTGTTCTGTCCACGAACTTCCTCTCATGATAGATAATGAGGACACATGATCCCATTAACTGTAGCCTACTGTTTTGCTGTGGTGATGAATGACTGAGGTGTTTGTACGCCATCTAGTGGTGAAAGATCCAAAGTGCTATTCATCCACTGACCTGCAGGAAAAGAGAAGTTGGGTTTTAAGTGAATGGTTTGACTTGAATTATATGCAAAAGCTGATTCAGGATTATTTCATTAAACATGTATCATCCGACTAATTCAAACCTGGTTCAAATGATCATGATACTGTAGCTGCTCAGATAGATTCATGCAAGATCACAACTGAGGGGGACAACTCTGAATCCACTGCCATGGAAAAAAAACTATTCCAATAATTTGAAGTATTTTCTGATAGTGTGTGGATTCAAAGAAAGGAAAATAAGGAAATATAAAGAAATATCACATTTGTGTAGTTCCTCTGTGCTGAGGTCAATGTGTGAAATATATCATCTCTTTTAGAAATATTTAACTATAACATCATCACACATCAAACGTATTAAAATGTATAAGAGGCAGTCCAGTTTTCATAACTAAATATAAATTATTCATGTATTTATGGCTACTTTCCTGTATTCTACCCTTTTATCCAGAATCCAGAATCTTACCAAAATGTAGAATTTAAATTCTAAAAAAACCATCCGTGTTCCATCCATCCCCCAGTTTCAAGGAAATCTCTTCAGTGGTTTTTGTGTAATCCTGCTGACAATGAAACAAACAAGTGGACAAAGGATAAAACATAACCTCCTCTAATGTCAGTGTAAAGAGTCTCTGGAGCAGAACACTGGTCGGTTTAGTAAAGATAAGATATTCAGAATCTCTGCTGAACCTAATGAGTCCTGTGTGAAAACCTGACCTGGACCAGGGGTGAAAGTCAGGACACAAGTTGTTTTCAAAGCTGTTTTGGACGTAAGCTTCTTTCCTGGAACATGAAATCTAGAACCTTCCTCAGTTTGGTTTTACTGTTCCCATATTGTGTAAAGTTGGCAATGTTGGTAACATACAAATAAACATAGTGTCTCTTTTTTCCTGTTAACATTGACACGGTAGCTTTGCCAGATATTTTTTTCCCCAGAATAAACACAACTTATTGTGAGTGTACATGTGCAAACAGAGTTTTGTACTTTGGAGTGTGTGTCTGTGGAGACATCACTGCAGTCAGGAATGGAGCTGGTGTCTCTGCTGTTTTTGTCTCTACTGGGCTTTCAGCTGGGCTCTGGAGGTATTTTAAGTTTATTTATGATGCTCACAAATCATTTCTCTCGTGCTTCAGGTTTATTTTAGGAGTGCATTCTTACCTGGGGAGTGTTGTTTTTCATATTTATTTGATTGAAGTATAAAGAATATCTTTTTGTATTCCTTCTTGTGAATTACGGGATGAAACATATACTCTTCGACTCTTTTACTGGCTCCAGCCCCTGCTCCAGCTCCAGCCCCGGCCCCGGCTCCGGCCCCTGGCCCGGTGTTTCTCTCAGGTCAGGCAGCCGACGGCGTTCTGCGGCGGAACAAACGTCACAACAGGGGCGTGTTTGAGGAGGTGCTGGAAGGTAACCTGGAGAGAGAGTGTATCGAGGAAGTGTGTGACCTGGAGGAGGCCAGGGAGGTCTTTGAGAATGATCAGACGACAGTAGGTGTTTATTCACTTTTTATTTCAGACTTTTATTTTTACTTTAGATATTTTTACTTATTCTTCTTTCTGTATTTCAGATGGAATTCTGGGCAGGATATATAGGTAAGACTGTGTTTAAACTCTGATTTCTATCAACACAGACAGAACATGACATGAAGTTCTCTTTATTTATCTCATGTGTGTGATTTTTTTCTGTCTAATCAATAAGAAATCAAACTTCTTACTCATTTTAAAATACACCCCTGTATTTAGATGACTGTGTACTGATGTGTTGTGTCTGGACGTCCACAGATGGAAATCAGTGTAAGTCAAGTCCGTGTCTGAACCAAGGCTCGTGCAAAGACCTTCGAGGCTCCTTCACCTGCGAGTGTGTGGAAGGTTTCATCGGCAGGACATGTGAGATCGGTAAGTTATAAATCCTGTGGCTGGATTTAAAAATGTGATCAAAAGAAATTAGATATTTGTGCTACATGATACAAATTCGTTGGGGATGTGAGATCAGATCTGATCGAATGTCAGTCTCAAAGGATAAACATCCTTTTTTCTTCTTTCTAAATTAAATCAAGGGCTTGCATCAAGCTTCAGTTTGGTTTTAGGTTCCAAATTTGGATTTGTCTTTTTTCGAGATTCTATAAACAGCAGCTCAAATAACCTCTGACTCGCCCACACAACAACTCGATTTAGCAGCTTATGTGGTGACAACATTGTACATTCAAAATTAAAATATGACTTTATTAATTTCTGTACGTTTTTCTCCACAGCTGTAACAAAAAGATGTGACGTGAACAACGGAGACTGTATGCATTTCTGTGAGATGATGGGAACCTTCGGAGCCAAATGTTCCTGTGCCGCAGGATACACGCTGATGGAGGACGGAGTCTTCTGTGAACCACAAGGTAACCGGCAGGCCACTTCAGTCTAATCAGGCTGCACCAAATTTCACACACCGAAAGATATCAGTCCTTAAGATATGCTTGACCTTTTTCATCTAGATCTATAGATTATTTTCAAAGAAAATTGTTTTTTCTTCGGTTGGATCTCGTAATATTAAAGAAAGCCAAAACAAAAATTCCAGGATCCGCCCTTCATCAGGATCTTTGCAGGATTTTAAAATGTTCTCTCTGGGCACATCCTTCCACCAAGTTTTGAGGAAGTCCGTCCTTTAGTTTTGTCGTAATCCTGAAGACGATCAAACAAACTAGAATGGCAGCTCATACCTCCGTCAAGGCCCCAAATTTCCCTTTTATTTCATCAAGCTGCACCAAATTCCACACACTCAAAAGTATTCATCCCTTTGATATGCCTGATCTTTCTCAAAATCCACGAATCATTCTCTGTGAAAATGTTGAAATGTTAAAGAAAGTGAAACGAAACTCCCGGGTCTGCACCAAAATCTAATTGCTTCCTTCAGGGCCTGCTCCACATCCTTCCGCCAAGTTTCATGGAAATACGTCCAATCGTTTTTGCATATTCCTGTTGACAACTGGACAAAGGAGAAAGTAACCTCCTTGGGGAAGGTGATGAAGTCTGTGCTTGACTTTAACTGACTCTTAATTCAACCGTTTTTTCTCACCAGTGGACTTCCCGTGTGGCAGAACGTTTCGGACAGCAGTAGTCTCAGCATTCAGGAGGTCTCTGCTCGGCCGTGAGAACACGAGCCGTGAGAATACCACGTCACTGACCCACAACGTTACCACCACGTCCCCTCCTTCATCTCCAGCCAGCACCACAAAGTCTTTTCGAGACACAACTGATTCTGCAGTATACCGAAGCATAAAGAAGCTGCCTCTGTGGGTGTACAGTGAGGCCGAGAGCCCCACTGAGGCCGAGAGCCCCACTGAGGAGCTGGTTCGCCCTTATAAACGCATTGTAGGTGGCTCATTTGTCACTCCAGGAGACATCCCGTGGCAGGTATCGTATGGAAGCATTAATTCATGTTAGGCTTTGTTCCAGGGAAAAGAAACAGCAGCCGTAATGTGTCCAGATCTGTGTTCACAGCTCTTGTCTTCTTCTTTCATTCAGGTGGCCTTGGTGTTACATCCCAGTGGTGAGATATTCTGTGGAGGCTCCATCCTCAGTGAGAGTTGGGTCGTGACTGCCGCTCACTGCCTGGCAGAGGTGGAAGGCCCCTTCTTTGTCAGAGCTGGTAAGAGTCACTGCTGTGAACTAGTGTCACCTCTGCTGAAGCATAAAGAGACTTTAAATGATCGGCCACTTTTTTTAGATGAGATTAGAGAGATCAAGCAAAATAAAGCAACATGATAACTTCTGTGTTGTGAAGATTTGCTGTGATAATAATATTTGGGACTGTTCTAAACAAGCTATTTTAAGACATTGACTTTTGTATTGGATCCATTTCATAGAATTCTAAAGATCAAATAATTTCCTGACTCATCAAGAAGACTACTGACCAATTAATATGGTGAAAACCACCAAGGTCCCCTTGAATTCATCAGATTGGACCAAATTTCATACCCTCATAATATCAGCGCCCTCAATGTGCCTGGTTCTTTTGTTTCGTCAATTATTCTCTGAGAAGTCAAGGGTCACGTTGAAGAAAGTCCCATCTCACAGTGTTAAAGAAAGTTTAAATTGACATTTATTTATTTTAAATTAAATTGGTTCGTCACCAAACCACATAATTCCACGTTTCACTGAAAACCATCCAGGAGTTGTTGTGTAACCTTAACAAATAACGCCAATGACGACATCACTTCTGGATCTGCCCCTTTATCCAGATCCAAAACGAGATGGATTCTCCCGTCATCATCATTTCATCCGTTCAGTTGTTTTGTGTAATCTTTGCTGGGAAACAAATAAGCAGGGGTGGAATCGGAGGTGGTGTTTACTCAATCATGAGAAAGTTTTTCCGTCAAGAAATAATTTGTACCAATTATTACACGTCTAAGGGGGAAATATTTGTGACATCAACTGCATGTGTAGAATAAATCTACAGAGTGAGTCAGTTATTTTTGTGTCTGACGTCTCTTCCTGCAGGAGAGTACAACATCTACATCAATGACGGCACAGAGCAGGATTACGAAGTGTTGAGGCAGCACATACACCCACGCTACAACACCAGCGTGAGCTTTTACGACCACGACATTGCCCTGCTGTACCTCAAATCCCCCATCACCTTCTCTGCAACAGTGCGGCCCATCTGCATCGGGCCCATGGCTTTCATCGAGGCCCTCGTGAAGAACTCCTCCCCGGCCACAGTCAGCGGCTGGGGCCGAACGCGCTTCCTCGGGGCCACGGCCAACACGCTGCAGAAGGTGGAGGTTCCCTTCGTGGATCGGACAGAGTGTAAGGAAAGCAGCAGCTCCAGGATCACTCCTTTCATGTTCTGTGCAGGATACTACAACGAGGCCAAAGACGCCTGTCAGGGCGACAGCGGAGGTCCTCATGCAAACAGCCTTCATGACACATGGTTCCTGACAGGCATTGTGAGCTGGGGGGAGGAATGTGCAAAGGATGGGAAATATGGAGTGTACACCCGAGTGTCACTTTACTACCGCTGGATGAACTACATCATGGGATTAAATAACCACAGGCTGGCGTTTGATGTGGATGATCCTGACCCATAAATTTCAAAATTATAAATTTAAAAATACAACTGATTTCACAAAAGTGTCAAATAAAATGTTTTTTTTCTTGCAGGACATTCAAATATTGAAGTTGCATTAAATTGCATATTGATTTTTGTGTGTCCAACTCATGCATTTTAGTTTTAAATATTCTGAGTAGTGTGTCGTTACAGAGCACAAATAGATATGTAAAAATATACATGTGTAATTTTTATTGACTGAACTTGACTAATAAACTCCACCCTTAAATACAGAAGCAGGATTACAAACTATTTTATATTCTGTATTTAAAAAATCTGATAAAAACAACTTCATGTCTCCTCTACAAAAACAGTGTGCACAGCAAAAACCCAACACTCCCACCTGCTGGTAATCAAGTGTTTTACACGTTGAGGTCTGATAATAGTGAAAGAAAATGTATCTTTGCAAATGTACACTATATATATATATGACAAAAAGTCACAAAAAGAGAAAGGTCTGCACAATTTGATCGTATAAATTTGCTTGTATTACAACAAGAAAACATAAATAATAGATTCAATCTAGGTGCATGACAAAGAGTAGCACGCATGATAGAATATTTGAATTATTTCAGTGACTATAGCAAATCAATTATTGCAACAAATAGTTTATTTTTGATTATTTCATACAGAAGTGAAGCTGTACAAAAAGAAGCCAGTTTAGAACAGTGACTGTCTCACGGTACAAACCTGCTCATTGCTCGGTTGCCATGCATTTTTCATTTTAAAGAAACATTCAGCGACATGTTTAGGCTACTTGGCTCATCAGGATACACAATATTTCAATATTTCAAGCAGGTTTTCTTTTGTTTTCCGAGCTGGAAAAAGAAATGTGCAAAATCTGCAGCATTTTGGATTGAAGTTAAACACAAAAACATCCCATTTTGTCTTATGAGCTAAAAGGCGAAACATAAAAAACTAAGGGGCATGTTTTCGTGCAGTCAAGCAGAGCTACTGTAAATATGTGGAAACCTAATTTCATTCGGGGGCTGCATAGATACTTCACAATATAAGGGAATAACATGACAGCAAAATAAATAAATTAACAACATAGGAAATGTGTAGTGCGAAGCGGCCCCTGCTGCTTTCCACACTCATTTCCATATCAAACACAGCATATCAAAGGCAGGCCTGCGACTGGGGCCTCGATTTGATGTGGTAAATTCATATAAGTCTGCAATCAATATTTAATTAAGCGTTCGACACAGAGGGTATATTTCATGTTGGCTGTATGATCCCTTTTAATGCGGAACCAGAGATTAACAGAGCCGTAATGGTGGGGAGGTAACAATCTGCCTGCTTGATGGAGGGGCACACAGAACATAATCTCTCTTTCTCTCTCTCGTTTCTCCCCTAATCTGACTCCCTCTCCTCGTCTGCAGGCCGTGACTGACAGCCGAGCTCCCAACAGACCCCGAGGAGAGCTGTGCCGTTTGGTGCTCTGCGGCACAGGCCTCACGTTTGTTTACGGGACACACCGAGGAATACTTTGCCATCAATCTTCATCGCGTCCGCCGTGTCTTACATTACGATCACTGACATGTCGGCTGCTGCCTGCATGCAGGGGGTATGTCTCCCCTGCCTCCCTAACACGTCATTCAAGGGTAAACAAAGGAAGTAACAGCAGGAATGAGGGGAATACACAGCACCAGAGGTAAAGCAGCAAGCAAAGAAGACATTCAGGAGACAATAGGTGGCTTTTTTTTGTCTCTATTGTCCTTAATAATAATTAAAGTGCCTGTTTCATGAGGTCAGGTTGAAGCATGAGAAGCATTTGACTTTGCAAACAGTACAAGAGACTCCAAAAGAGCAGGAATAAAAAAAGGCAATATGGCATGGCACATTTTGGCATTTCAACCTCACAGACTGCCTCATGGAATGAAATGTCAGAAAAAGACAGTGACGTAGTTCAATGGAAAAACTAACCACGCAAAAAGATGAAACAATGACGTACAATAAATGTTAAAAATGATATTGTACATCTACAAAAGCCTTTCATAAACGTTTCTGGCAAAATCCTTTGTGCGCCTCCGTCCAGCTCACACTGAGACAACAATGAACACACGCACACTCAGATGCTGGAACCTCAAGTTTTTTAGCTGGAATGAAAAAGGGCTGAAAAATGATTCCAAGTCCACAGTTTGCAAAAGGACCCAGTCCTGCAGCAGCATCTTCACACCCTCACTGTGTGTGTGTTGCAGATTGAGCGCCAGAGGACCAAGAAACTCCTCATCGATCAGAAAAGAGGAAGACCAATCAGGACCTCGGGATCGGCAATTGATTGTCCAAAGGGGGCAAAGTAGTTCCTGTGCTGTCACAATCAGCCGGAAGATTGTCAATCAAAACCTTAGAGAAAATCAGGTCTCTACATTCCCACGTGTTTTTTATTTTTGTAATGACCGAACTGTGCTGAAGAGAGCAGACGGCACCAGGGAGGGAGGAGATAGTGCAACAGTTACGATTCAGGTGTGGCTCCGTCCGTTCCTTCTGCCTGGTCCTTGTCCAAAGGTCACTGAGATTCACATTCTGTGCTTTCTTCTCTACGGGGAGCTGAGCTTTCTCGCCTTCAGGTTCCCGGGGTCTATAAGAAAATACACGTTTTTAAAAAAGAAGTCAGGAAATTTAACAGCTCAATGTTACAGGTTACGTTCATTTAGATAGTCCAGGTGTTTTTCTTTACCCCCGAGTCTGGAGGAGTGTCCTCGGCTACTGTCTCCTACAATCAGCTGCAGGCTGGCGGCTGCTATGAAGCCTTCCTGTCGCCGACTCAGATTTTTCACCAGCCTGCATAGTGAGGACAAAGTTGAAATCAGATAAATACACTTGGAATGTGTCTTTCAGGTTTTGTGTGTTAAAAGGCTGAAAACTCACCAGCGTCCCTTGTTGTTCTCAGAGTGCAGTTGGATGACGTCCCCACACTTGACAGTGACGCTGTCTGGTCCGTTTTGAGGACAGTTGGCCAAAGCCTTGTATCTGCCGGGAGACTACAAAGCAAGAAACTGTCAAGCACAAAGTAAGTGAGGATTTATTATCACTAGTGCAGAGGCTGTTCTAAACCTGCATGTTTGGAATGTTGTGTTTGCTCGGCCTCATCCTCTGGAACATTGAAAGTTTCTTGTGTCTAATCGCACTAACTTCAACACTGCTAAATTCAACCTCCTCGGGCCATCAACAAACACTAGTGTGAAATCGATGATGATTCTTGAAAGTGGGAAGATTTCATTGTATCTGATGTATTCAGTCTCACCAGTGGCACCAAAACCTCCTCGTCTTTGTCAAACGGGCGGAAAGCGTCCCGACCTCCAGGCCACTCCCCCAGACCCTCGCAGTTGTCTACCGAGTGATGAGCTCCGGGCCAACCTGACACACACACACACACACACACACACACACACACACACACACACACACACACACACACACACGACGTTAACAGGTCCTGATGAACACACTGTACAGAACACCACCACATTACAGGCATCATGTAGATACTTGGTAACTATGGCGACCCCTTCGTCACTTACTGGGAAAATAATAAGAACGTAGAATCAGAAGCTAATCTCAGTAGCTTTCTCCCCCAAATTCCTCCATGTGTGTGGTTCTTCAGGTCAAAGTACACCTGAACTGCTGAGGGGGGGAAAGTCGAATATCTACATCAGCAACAGTGAAAAACAAACGTGATGTGTTTCGATCGTGACGTTATTTTCTGGGATTTAGTTACTAAGTATCTACTTGATTACAGCGTGACTGTGTGTAGTTGTACTCACTCCTGCGGTTGTGCTGGTGTTTAGGGGAGTGAGGCTGGGGGTCTGGACTGCTCCTCCCCGACTCTGTGTCCTCCGAGCTCACTGACGCCCTCTGCTGCTTGCTTGGAGGACAACACAGGACAAATGAATAACACTGTATCACCAAATACTGTAAGTCAGCAGACGCACTCAGGATAGATGTTATCCTCCGTCACACAATCTGGGGACAGCTCTCGCTCTCTGGATCTGATCCACATCTATAAGAGGAATCAGCGTAGCTGGTCCCACATCAGTGCCGAGGAACAACCCTGTCCTGTTGTTTCCCTCACAGCCGAGACCATTCAGGCACCAGCCAGACAGCAGGACAGAACACAGAGCAGCATGAGCAAGCTTCTCTGTAACAGGTGGAAATAAGGACTCAGACTGTTTGCATGTGTCAAACACAAGCAAAGATCTGGTCTCGATTTATCGAGATCAAAATATAGATTTGATTCTTTTATAATTAAAATGCTGTTTCTTGAAGCAAATTCCTCAGAGGTTGATTAGATCTCAAGAAACGAGCCCCATCTTAAGAAGCAGCTGTCATGAGGAAATCAAGAAAATTCATGAAATGAAGCCAAAACTCTTTTCTTGTATTTTGCCCTTTGCATTTCATGCAAAATAGCAAATCTGAGATGCAGAGCTGAGAGTGGCTGTGTTTGATACGGTGTTAGAAATACCATGGCAGAGGTGCTGAGACTCATGGCCTCTCAACATGAACGGGGAGTGAGGGGTCAGTTATGAACCACAATGAGGTTATAAATAAAGGTTGCAGGTGACAAATCATTATGCAAACACAGTAGCTCTAGATTTTTGGTCCCCAAGCTGGGCCAGGTGGGTCATGCCAGGGCGAGGCTAGCATGGCAGGGTTTACCACTGAGCGTTAGGGCAGGTCAGTGGCGCTGGGGGCGGTGGCGGGGGCGTGGCCGGGGCCGTTGCCGGGGGCTCCGGGGACGGGAGCTCCGGGAGCGAAGGCACAGAAACACGTCGGCCGACAGCGAGACAAAGTCCAGCCCCGGCAGACAGCCCCTGGGGACCCCTCTGGACGGCCGCATGCCCCTGCAGGTGGGGGATGGGAGGAATGGGGATAGGCAACCAGACAGCTGTGGACAGAGAGGGGCCTGCCCCACGTTCTCACACACCGCCACACCCACACAAAGCCTTCTACCACAGCAACGTGAAATGATATTTTCACAGTCACTCGAGCTGATGATGTAAACTTCAAACTTAAATGTAGATTTTGCTGCTGCAGCTGCACGTGTGTGTTTTCTGTGTCTGTTTCGTTTGTATGTTTGTGCAACTGTAGCCTAAAGTCATGCAATCAGCTCACCACTGTAAACACTGTATGTGTGAACACTGACCTCTCAGAGAGCGGCGGTGACAGCGGCATGTGTTCAACCATTTGTCCTTGTTGATACGCTTCATCTGTGAGGAGAAACAAGGTAATGTCAGGACACATGAACATGGATTATCTCATTCAAGTGATTCTAATTTGAATATTAACATCAGTTCTAAGCGTGTATGTTCCTTAGTTCATCTTAAGAATTGTATATGGTGAAGAACAAGGTCCACTGGTGAGCTTCAGAGCTTTTGACCACATCTCATGTTGAGAAGCAGTAAAGTAAATGAAGCTTTGTGCTTACACCTCCTCTTTAAATTAATGTTATATTGTCACAGACCTCTGAGCAGCTTCTGTTGGTTGGTTAAGATTCTGCGCAGCTCGTTGAGCCAGGCCATCTTCACTTCCACTGTAGGAGCCTGAGAAACAACAGAGACATAGCAACAGGACAAACTAGAACAAGTCAGTGGATTACAGTGTTCTGTATATATTTCTTTCTATCATAGATTACCCACATGTCATTTCTTCTGTTAAACACCATCAGGATTTTTCCAAAAATCACATTTCAGAGGATGGAACATTCTTTCTGTGTGGAAGATATTTGCTATTTCTGCATAATAACTTGGCAAAAGATCAACTGATGATCGAAACTGTTACTACTGCTACTCGTGCTCAATTATCAGTTATTATCAGGCATTCATTTGCTTTCCTTACCTGAACCACATACACTTCCTCCCTGCCACTGTACCAGATCTCAAACTTTTTCACATCTCCTTTGACGTTCTCTGTGATCCCCACAGCCGTCATCTGCCAAGAGACGTACACAGATTACACACACACCTACACATGCAGGATTAGGACAGGCAGCACAAACAGCAGCTCATACATCAGACTTACATCATGTAACACATCTGTCAGAACACTAACACTCACAGACACACCTCCGCTGTGTGACGGCTTCCTCCCACATCCTCAATAATAAATCAAGAGCAGCAGCTGTTGCTGTCACCAGCCGCTGACTCCAGCATCAACCACTGGTGGCTCAGTCACTTTTCCAATGTTGTGGAAGTGTAAAAAAAGCTTTCGACTTTAACTTTGTGTTACATCTGTCTCCCTTGGCTGATGTAGTGGTCAGGGTGACTGTTGCAGTGACATCATCACCTGAGAAGGTCTGCGTGTCTTACTAGTGTCTTACATTCCTTCATGCAGGGGGACGTCAGGAAGGAAGCCACCGTCCGTAAGATTTAGATTTTCAGTTCATATGTTCAAGTTTAGTATTCATGGTACACGTATGTTAACCAGTGGACACAAACAACTTCCTCTACGCTGCAGACCAACCTTGAGACAGTGCTTGAAGCTGTAGGACGGCGTCTTGTCAGAGCCGTCTCCGTGCTCCTCCCTCCGCTTGCAGAACAGCAGCGCTCTCTCGTACAGGAAGAGGTGTCTCTGCATCGGTTTGAAGCGAGCCAGCTCCTTCATGCGTGTGGGACCTTTCTTATGGCTGATCCACACGCTGAAGGAGCCCTGCATCAACACTCGGCCCAGCTCACAAATGTCACCCTGCGTATAAACGAAGGAGATAGTTGTGTGATAGTCTTCCCCGTGAATATATTCGATTTAAAAAAATTGTTATAACACATTAATCACAGGTTTATCATTAAATGGAAATGTGATTCACCTCATATCCTGTGATGGCTATCTGATGCATGGAGTCATTGACTGATTTGAGCAGGTCCAGCATAGCTGTTAGCGCCCCCTGCAGTTCAGAAGTCCCCTCACAGTCTGTACTGTATTTTAGCAGCTCCTAAGAGCACACACACAGAATAAACAGCCAGGTTGGAAAATACACACACACACACACACACACACATTCAAACATTCATGCAAAACCTTGAGTACTCTAGAGGCATGAACTAATAATAAGGCTGTCTGATGAACATTTTAATCGTACAGAGCGGCCCGTCAGAAGAATGAATAATTATACTGACTCACGTCAAAGCTTTAGACCCATTGCCAGTGA